TTCTTGTATTTTTTGTAATTCATATATTCTCTATATTCCAGTGTTCCCTGTAATCCTTGTATTTCCTGTATTACATGTTTTCCGTGTATTCCTTAAATTTTCTGTATTTCTGTATTCCCCTGTATTCCTTGTATTTCCTGTACTCCTTGTATTCCCTCTCTGTATTTAATATATTTAATGTATTCCCTGTATTCCCTGTATTTCCTGTGACATTTTTTACCCACATATGTTAAGCACCGTTTCTTAGGTGCGTGTGAGTGATTACTCGTACACACGTACCTAAGAACTGTCATCTTAGCTGCGTGTGTACTCCATTTTAAAGATAAGAACTCTGCTTAGCTTGAAAGTGAGTAATTTAAAGGTAGCGTTTACCTGTAGGTATAAAATGCCCCAGTTTTATAAAATAAAAGTATATAGTGTCAAGTTCTAAGGTAGTGAGATTCATTAAAAAAATAAAAAGTGAGATTTGAAAATCAAAAATGAGAATATAAAATTTCAACTTTTATTTTCAAACTCTGGTATTGGCGGTAGTGAGATTTCATCTTTTTTGTGCAACTCTCCTGTATGGTGTTTTTTCAATATTTTTTGAAAATTTATAATTTTTTTTGTACTTAAATGGCCCAAAAAAATCCACAAACCTTTTTTCTCTCAAAATCAAAATTTCAGAAAAACAAAAAAGTGTAAATAAATTATTTCTATTGAAATCTAAAATTGTAGAAAGATTGAATTACAGAATCTCAGAAAATTTGCAAAATTGTAGTTAGAAAATTCGCAATTTTCAGTTCTGGTATAATTATTACGGAAAAGTTATTTAAATTCTCTAGTTCCTTTCTTCTTAGTACATTCTAAAGTATTAAGTATACGCTGTTTAGTTGAAACCATTGAAAAAATAATTTTCCGTAAAAATTATAACAGAACTGAAAATTGCGAATTTTCTTATTACAATTTTGCAAATTTCTGAGATTCTGTAATTCAATCTTTATAAAATTTAGATTTCGATAGAAATAATTTATTAACACATATTTGTTTTTCTGAACTTATGAAATTATTTATTGATAACCAAAAAACTCTAGAATAATAATTAAAGCAATTAAGTGCATTTAATGTTGTTACAAAGCTATAGCTTTACAAGTAAGTTATTAACTCATGCTTATTAATGGAAACTTAATTGCTGTACCACATGTTCTTTGGAATATTTAAAGTCATACCTTGAGTTTAAAAATCGAGTTTTCTGGTTATCACTGTATGCAAATACGACCCAAAAACGATGCAAAAACTAAAGTTTTAAAATTATCGGTCTTATGAAAAGATTTAAAAAACGAAGGAAAAGGATTTCCAACTCTAATATTGTATCATCCTCTCTTGCATGCAGTACTGTAGTACTGCAGTTTCTGGCAGGAATATAAACATTATTTAAGGATTATCAAATATGCCACTTTTTGGTTTGTTGTGATAGATTTTAGATTGTTTTCAGTTACCTTATGGTAGCAGTCAATCATTTTCAATAAAAAAGATATTTGTTTTAATATTTGGAGGTCAACTTAATAACGACGAGAGGGTCTCAGGATAACTAACTTTATATTTTATTTTAATATACATTGTTGATTTATATTTGGAGAAATAATCGTGGCTGTCCAAAACTCCCCTAGTCTTCTAGCTGCCGCGAAGGATTTCTTGGTAGAAGACTTTCATAACCGCCACAGTAGTCCCCCCGGAAGGAACGGCTGAGACAAGGCGGAGCAGACTCTTCCATCACTTGAGGACCTGTAAAGATTTTGACGTACAGGTACAGGTGGCGGAAGAACTTGAGGAACGAGTTGGAACCTGACTCTATAGTATTCGTGGCGGAGGAAGTCGGAGAATCTGAAGAACTCACCACTGGTTGGCGGCCAGGTCTTCCTCAAAGCGGAGGTAGAGCAGGAGTAACAGGAGCAGCACTAAACACAGGCTTCAGGCGATCTACAGAAACTGAATCCTGCTTGGAACCAATCTGGAGGCGGAAGAACTATCAATTACCAGGTAGGGTAGGGTCCACAATAACGTGGAGCCACAGTTGGTATAACTGCATCCTCTCGAACAAACACAAAATTGGCTGTCAAGATGGCTGCAGGGAGCTGAGATGGAGAAACAGGACGAACATGATGAGGTGGAAGGGCAACGAAACCATCAATGGCAATACTTTCCTCACGAAGGTATTAGGAGGCAGCTCAGGAAAATCCACATGTTCTCCAGGCAAGGTTAAAGGTGAACCGTACACAGCCTTGGAGACTGAGAGGCCAGTGGCATCCTTTGGCGTAGCTCTTAAACCCTAGAGAACTAGGGAGATGAGAGAACCAGTCCAAATTGAAGAAGTGAACTGGGAACCTCTGTCTGATGTGAGAACTGCAGGCCCGCCAAACCTTGATATCCAGGTTGAGATGATAGAACCATCTTGTGGTTCAAATCAAACATGGTGAGAAGATAAGAATAACTTTGACTGGAGGGTAGAGGACCAACAATATCAATATGAACATGAGAAAATCTCAGGGTTGGAACTGGAATAGAGGGAACAGGAGAATGAACAAGAGTAGAAATCTTGGATTTTTGACATGGAATACAGGATTTTGCCCAGAAACCAACATCTCCGGACATTCCCGGCCAAACAAACCTTGATGAGATCAATATTCTGGATGCTCTGATACCAGGGTGAGACACTATGAAGCTAATCAAAAAGCTTGCGACGAAGTTAAAGAGGAACCAGAGGACGAAGGGAACTGGTTGAAATATCGCATAAAATGTCTCCGGTTCTCACAGGATGAACAATCACTGAAAGAGAAGGGTTTGTTTTCATTTCTTCCACGGACGAGCAGGCAGCTTGAGACCTAGATAAACTCTAAGCATCAAATCCCTGCATGACTGGTTCACTTTGAGGATATCTGCCCGGAGCTGGGACCAAGGCAGATGCTTTCTTGGATGAATTCTGCTCGTAGCTAGGAACTGGCAGGAAGAGGAGGTGGAGAAATCTTCAACAGACCTGACACCTCCGACACCACCAACACCTCCGACACCTCAGAACGCAAGGCATCAGAGATAGGAGTGGAGCAAGGTTTAACAGGCTTAGGAGAAGAGCGGAACGGGTTTGAATCAGGGTTCGGATTGGAGCTAGATTTAATTGGACTTGGAGAAGAGCAGGACGGGTTTGACTCAGGGTTTGGATTGGAGCAAGGTTTAACTGGACTCTGAGAAACTAAGGACGGGTTTGACTCAAGGAGATGATGTCCTTGATGCACTAGGGTTGATAGTCCTAAGCCTAAAAACTCTCCAGAAGAAATTCTGTGGCAGTTCAAACTTAAGATTGTATAATGCATAAACAAATTAATAAACTAAGAGTTAGGAACAGCAATGAATGAACTAGGAACTTAATTCGTAAAAACATGAAATAATGATCAATACTGTCAACACATAAAGCTGTACAAATAAAACATACCTATTACCTATGCGCAAAAAAACGTCATTCATACTGTACATGAATCAGGAACAGTAGTCAATAATAGGAACATAAAGTAAGAACAAAAAGAAAGTTTTATGCATGTAAATTTTAAATTAGGAACATTATTCAAATTATGATTAATGTGTAAGGAACCTGACTATGCAGTATTCATATGCAAGTTAGACAGGAACAATATTAGCTTTCTATTTTCAGAATTTTTCATCCTATTTTAAGAATTTTTCATCCTATTTTTAGAATTGTGTGTGCCTATTTTTAGAATTTTTTGCAGGACCGTAACCAGGGGGGGGGCCAGGGGCGCATGCCTCCTCCCTTTTACCCTCGAATTTGCACAGGGGGGAACACTAACTGAGACAAAAAATAAGAAAATGTAAAAATGAAAAGAAGAAAACGAAACAAGAAAGAAAGAAGGAAAAAGGGTAAAAAAAAATGGCATAAAGTCTATTTTTTGTTTTCAATATTATGTGTAAAGGTTTATTTTTTCTTCAAATTAAAGAAAAATTGAGTGTCTTTCGAAATAAATTATTTAGGAATTTATATTTCTATCCTGTCTTGTTAAATGATAAGGTTGGTTTAAATAAATTTTGTGTATTTTGAGAAGCTTAACCTTTCCTCTTCTTTTATCATATTTATGATTCTAATGAACCATAGTACAGCTAAAAGTAACATACAGACAAATTGAAATAATATACAGGATACAGGATAAAGTATACAGGATACTAGGATACAGTATACAGGAAACAGGGTACAGGATACATTGATAGTAGGATAAAGTACTCAGGACATAGGATACAGGATACTAGAACAAGTTTACAGGCTACAGTGTACATGATACTAGGATACAGTATATTGGATTATACAGTATATAGTATACCGGATACTAGAATAAGTATACTAGCATACTTTGATACAGTATACCATTATAATTATCTTGATTTTTTTCATGCATTTTAAGCAGAAAAAAAAGTCGCCGTTATTTTGAAACACAGATCCGTTCGTTCTTTTTGTGCAATCGTTATTTTTTGAAAAACGGCTATTCCCGTTAGTTAACATATTAGAAATTAATAGTTTTTGCACTTACGTTAATTTTCATAAACATCCGTTTCGTGAACGGAATGTTTTTTTTTGTTTTACATTAATTTTTATTATATCTACATTAATTTTAAATGTATTTTAATTATCAAATAAAATACATATTTTTTGGTGGATTTGTATCATTCCGATTTTATTTTTTAACCTTAAGACATTGAAATATAAACATGTTGTTGTTGAAGACAGACACACAGCAAACATATTTTCTTTGCAAGTATTAAAACTACACTACAAATCAATAAACAACTTAAAAAAAAAAAAATTACAAATTTTTTACAAATTGGGTATTTTTTATTTTCATATTTTTAAAAATACAATTTTTGAGCAAGTAGTAATTAATACATGCATTTTAATGCAAATAATCATTTTTTCGAATATTCTTCTTTTCTGTTTGCACATATTCTCTTTATTTTACTGTTGCATTATCTGAATAGCCCCTCCCCTGACAGGCTAATATATGCTAATAATAAATAATACAATGCTTCTTCTATTTTAGCTTTTTCATGTTGCTTTTTAAGTCGCCATTTTTTCTTCATACTCCATAAATATCGCGGATTTTCATGTTTCCAAAATATTTAATTTTGATGATATTATTCTCAGATAAAAGAAAGCATCTAGCTAAATAGTATGGAGGATAGAGGGGAGAATGTCCGTGTTGTTGTTAGGGTTCGCCCCCTTAACTCACAGGGAAACATGGCATTTAGATATTAGACATTTTGAAACAGTTGGATGTTATTTGAAAAAGTGATTCTTTACCAATAGTTCGTCAGTCTTATCCAGGGATTCTTTACCGTTAGTTCGTCAGTCTTATCCAGGGATTCTTTACCAATAGTTCGTCAGTCTTATCCAGGGATTCTTTACCAATAGCTCATCAGTCTTATCCAGGGATTCTTTACCAATAGTTCGTCAGTCTTATCCAGGGATTCTTTACCAATAGTTCGTCAGTCTTATCCAGGGATTCTTTACCAATAGTTCGTCAGTTTTATCCAGGGATTCTTTACCAATAGTTCGTCAGTCTTATCCAGGGATTCTTTACCAATAGTTCGTCAGTCTTATCCAGGGATTCTTTACCAATAGTTCGTCAGTCTTATCCAGGGATTCTCTTTTAATCTGAAGGTTGTCCTTTAATCGATGGAGTAAAGAATGTCGTATTTATAATCTTAAGAGCTGTCTTTCTTCTGCAGCAGTTGTTTTTTCTAATCTTGAAGTCGTTTTCTGATATCTAATATTAAGGGATATTTAAAAGATGTTTAAGTGTGGTATTACTAATTGGGTCTGTCTCTACAACTTTACTAGATTTGATCCTAAAGCAAAGAATAAAATTTCCAATGAACGGAGTTCTTGTCACATACCGTGATTTTCTAATCCCTATATTTTGCAACCCAATGACTTTTGTTATTTCAAACTATAAATTCTTTTAGATAAAAATATCTAAGTTTCAAATATCAAAGATTTACACCGTCAGGTTGCAAAGATGGATTAGAAAATTTGAATTTGCGGAAAAACATTAGTTCCCTTGTTTGGTTGAATAGAAAAATTTCAAAACTGATACTTTTTGAAGAAGGCAGAGATATGTCTGTTTCTTGTGAAGGAGACAGAGGCTGGATACAAGGTTATTACTCATGTTAATCCTATCGATGGTTCTATCACTGTACAATCTCCAGGTAAACAATTACATTGATTGATTGATTAATTGATTCATAAATTATTTACCATACCAAAAATAATATAATAAATTAGTTGGAGTGCCCAGCGTTGCCCAGGTAATACTATTATTCATAGTCATAGTTAATCACGCCGTTTACCCGCGCTTGGTATTGAATCATTATTTTAGCTGTAGTGCAGACTTTTATTAATTTAAAGATACAATGATAAATTTTCTATTTTGCCTTTTTTACCAGATTAATTATTTCTTTTATGAATTGTGTAGAAAACTTTTTGATTAAACAATTGATTGATTGATTAGGACGTGAGGTGACTGGAAGCCGAGAGCAGCCGCTAGACGCTCCACCCAAACAATTTACATTTGATACAGTCTTTCCTCCAGGTATATATATAGCTGGGTGGGGAGAGAAAAGGGAGGAGTGACCGGCAAATTTATGGTAGTTGAACTGAGAATGTAGTATTGTGAAGACATTTTTTTAGAATTCATTGGAGACATTAAAACGTTCTAATAATATATCATTTCTGAGTTTGAGCGCTATGTCAAAGTTCAAAATTATTCACTTGGTTACGTTTAGAGAATCTATTTTTTAATTTATTAAATAACGACGACAAATGATGCAAAAAATATCTAGAGTTAACTAATTAGATGAGACATTACAGAAACCAATAACTGAATAAGATTACTTATTTTCGATGATAATAGTTAATTTTTATTCTCTCAACCTGTTTCTAAACAAAAAATTAATTTACTGTAGAATTTTTACTAAATTTTTCGTCGTCGTTGTTGAATAATTTATTTAAAAACCGATTCTCAAAATCTTTCCATTTAAATGAACAAGATTGAATTTGCGCTCTTGCTGAACAAATATGCACCTTAAAAAAGTCTCAAAAGGTCTCAAATTATTTCAAAAAAAGCTCTCCACAAAACTAAATTCTCAGTTTAATTACTACACATTGCCGGTCACTACCTTTAAAAAATTCTGGTATAAAAATTGTTCAAGGAATAAATAATATTGGAGTCGATTGAAGTGTGTAGTCTTAAAGTTTACAGATATCACTGAACATTTGTTTTCAACTTAAAAATGTATTTAATTTATTTAGATGTAAAGCAGGTTGATGTGTACACAAGGGTTGCAAGATCTATTGTAAACAATGTACTCGAGGTAAACAATGTACTCGATATAAACAATTTACTCGTGGTAAATACTCGAGGTACTCGATACAAACAATTTACTTGATATAAACAATGTACTCGATATAAGCAATGCACTCGATATAAACAATACTCTCGATATAAAATTTTAACATATTGTACGAATTGTACACAAGTAGGAATGTAACCGTACAATACTGTACATATCTAGAGATAGCTTGGTACAATATTGTACATATCTAGAAATAACTTGGTACAATATTGTACATATCTAGAGATAACTTGGTACAGTATTGTACATATCTAGTGATAACTTGGTACAATATTGTAAATATCTAGTGATAACTTGGTACAATATTGTACATATCTAGAGATAGCTTGGTACAATATTGTACATATCTAGAGATAACTTGGTAGAATATTGTACATATCTAGAGATAACTTGGTGGAATATTGTACATATCTAGAGATAACTTGGTACAATATTGTACATATCTAGAGATAACTTGGTACATTACTGTACATATCTAGGGATACAACGGTACAATATTCGCGTACGGGCAGACGGGGACAGGGAAAACCTTTACAATGGAGGGTAACAGGACTGTACCTGAACTCAAGGAAATATATACATTGAATTTTCCTACTCCACTCACCTAACCTATTCCACCCACCGGATATACACCACTTTGACCTACTTCACCCACCGGATATACACCACTTTGACCTACTCCACCCACCTGACCTACACCACCTTTACCTACTCAGCCTACCTAACCTATTTCACCACCTACTTTATCCAATTGACCTCCTTCTTCTTCCAATTGACCGCCAAATTTTATCAAATTGACCTCTTACTTTGAATATACTTGACCAAACAAATATTTTTCGGGATGATATGCTTGATCTGAAATATACGATCTACTTGATGTGTAGGTCAGGGACCTCTTAGGGAAGGATCAGAGCTTGAGATTAGATGTCAAGGAAAGACCAGATGTCGGGGTATACGTCAAGGTAGTGCTATAGATATATACAATATATGTACATAATACAGCTTTCTCATGGACCCGCAAACAAGTCAAAGAGGTCCGTGATCAACGAACAGTGGTTAGTGATCAATAGTCAGTGATCAGTAATTAGTAATCAGAGAAGCGAAATAATTTTAATAAACGTATTTTTTCCCCTCTGTATTGATTCTAGTTTTTTTTTTGAAGCATGGATGAATGTTAATTCACATATACAAATTTCAAAATATGATGATTAAGGATTTATCTGCTTTTGTTGTGAATAATGCGGATGATATGGACAAAGTTATGACAATTGGTAAGCATTCAATTTCCAATTTTTTCTTCTTCATTTGATCAAATCAGTTTTTGAAGTAATTTGTATTTTATTTTTATTTGAAAAATAGATTCTTTATATATTATAAAAGCGCATCCAATGCTAAATGTGTTCACAAAATTTAAAAAGGATAAAGAATTATTCAGTTCACTCTATCCCAATAAAATTTTAAGAACAATCTTTTTAAATCATTATCCAACATTATCAAAGTTTGTTTTGTGTGTGCAGGGAATAAGAATCGAAGTGTTGGGTCTACTCACATGAACGCCTTAAGCTCAAGAAGCCACGCCATCTTTACCATTACTATAGAGTGCTCGGAGAAGGGGGCTGACAACCAACAGCATTTCAGGTTTATCTTCTGGAGTTTTTTCTAGAACTAAGTTTTACAAATTCTGTGAACTTATAAAAAATCCAGTATTTCAGAATTGGTACGTAAATGTAAAACTTTGCTTTTCTTAAGCTTTGAAAAACATGTTTTCATAACAGAAAAAAAACAGCCAAAGATCTGGCAGGATCTAAATATATTTTCCTCTGGTAGTGTAAACACTTTTAAACAGGGTTGGTAAACTGCATCTGGTAGTGTATACAATATTATACAGGGTTGGTAAACTGCATCTGGTAGTGTATACAATATTATACAGGGTTGGTAAACTG